ACAGGATCGAGAGGTGAGCGAACGCCGGTATGTGTTCTCTCACCTCCCGATCTACTGAGCCGACCTGTGACAGTCTCATTGTCACAGGTCGGCTAGAACTATGAGGTGAGTGAAAAGCACTCCCCTCATAGTTCTCCTTTTAAGGTAAAAAATGCCCGCACCTTAATACTACTTTAAATGAAATATATGATATTTAGGAATCTGGTGACATCGAAAGCAAAATGGACTCCAGAAAAAGACATAAACCGGTATTTATTAAATCTTTCCTTTGTGCTAAAAACAGTTGGAGTTCCCTTTTAAGTGTGATTTCTGGTTTCATTCCCCAGATCTTACTTCAGCGAAACAAAGATGGCGGTCACACCCCGAACGTAGATTTGGGGAAGGTCCAGCGGCAGTTTAGTGCTCAGGAGGTAGGTGGCTCTCCCCTGCTGTTGAAGTGCACGTGACACAATGGTTGTACTTTCAGACGGAACACATTTGTATCAATAGCTGTTGACAGCAGCAGAGTTAAAGGAGAACTATGGGGTCAGGGCTTTTCCCCATAGTACTCCTTAGGGTAACGGGAGGACACAAACTAGCATCCTCCCGTCACCCTAAGCTCAGTATATAGGGAGCTACAGCTCGCGGTATACTGAGGCTCCGCAGCCGGGACGGATCCCGACAATTATGTCTGGATCCGCCCAGCTGCGTGAGTGACAGCTGGCTCTGCCTATCTAGAGGCAGAGCCAGCTGTACCCGCCCCCTCCCCCGTCCGTTCCGCCAGTCAGCGCTGGCGGATCGGAGGGGGGGATCCAGCCCCTCCCCTGTCAGCGGACGGAGACGTGACAGGAGCGCGCGGGGGGAATCCAGCCCCTCCCCTGTCACGGCAGAGAGCCGTGACAGGATCGAGAGGTGAGCGAACGCCGGTATGTGTTCGCTCACCTCCCGATCTACTGAGCCGACCTGTGACAGTCTCATTGTCGCAGGTCGGCTAGAACTATGAGGTGAGTGGAAAGCATTCACCTCATAGTTCTCTTTGAAAGGAGACTTGTTCTGAGATAAATGTGCGCTTCCTGTCCTCCTGAAAATACCCGTTGTCTGGCTTTTATACACTCTTGAGTTACCGACCTGCAGCAAGTACCTGTCATGGGAAGTCCAAGCAAAGTCTGACCTCCCAGTTGCGGGTTGGTAATTACGTTCTGTTTCTGATGTCGGGTTTTATTTTTTTTCCTGTCTTTGTATTCAGCCATTTCTGAAAGAACTGAAGACCCTGAAGGAGCGCCTGCAAGTAGACGAGGATATCATCTCCAGTACAGCCGCCGAGAGACTCCTCCATATCTATAGAGAGCTCCGAGACCCCGGCCTGTTCTTCATATGACCGTCCCGAGGTTGTCTCTTCTACAGTCCAGGTGGAAGTCCTGTTAGTACCAATAGTTTGGGAGCGGATACATGGCGGGGGTCAGAAAGGGAGTCACTCCGGATCTGTAATGCCAAAGCACAGTCTAGCTGCACCGGTATACTTGTTGTATAGCATTTAGACGGCCTGTCCTCTCCGATCTATTTCACGTTGTAGAGTTTTGCCATAGGCATCCTCTGCTCATTCTGTCCCTCAAGGGATAAAGCACATGTAGCACTATGTCCCAATTCCATCACGGCTGTAGATGCTAGCTTGCATGGTCACCCCCTCCATTGCTGTTTGACCACATTGTTCAATAGGAGACTAATTTGATTGACAGCACTTGTCCCCGGCAGCAGGAGAGGGCCCGGGACCAGCGTCATCATTACTGATAGAGGCGGAGGTGGGGCCTGTCTTTTCTTTTGGATTTTTGCACCCTATGGTGCATAAGATGGGCTCCTGCTGGTGTTCAGCATCCAATCTTCCACGAGGATGACCCGGTTCAGGGTGTGGGTGCAGTGTTCTTCATACTTTTTACACTTTACAAACTCTGCCCGGGGTATGTAAACTGATCACAACTAAATATATACACAAGGAGAAGGGAGCATTGCAAAGTGGGCGGAGACAGCTCAGAGATTGCCACATATGTTGGATGGAAAAAAGAACCAACATATGTGGCAAGCCCATAAAGCCAGACTGACCTCACCCCCAAAGGTGAGATTTCAGTTCTTTCAATCATGGGCGCTCCGCATCACATGTGGTCTGTATGCAAATACAGCCTCCCTAGGAACGCCCATTCCTCCAGAGCAGTCTGATATTTGCATAACTCCTCCCAGGAGCCCGCCCACTGCTTGCACCAGGACTTGGGGCTCTTGAGAAAAGTACTAAGGCCAGGGTGCTGTGATATTTTCAGGAGGCCGTGTACACCACCCTGCCAACCCCTCCATCTGCCTGCATTGCAATGGGAAGCCTAGAGACCCAGTGATGACATCACTGGATCTAAAATAAGATATGTAATGAGATGGGGGGGGGGCAGAAAAGGCAAAATATAGGCAGATTAAGATTTTAAGGAAAAGTTTATATTACAAGGTAAGAGCAGCGATGGAATCGTATTAAAGTGTCTCCGTCGTATGGCCGGTCTTGTTGCGTTATGCCGGGATGAGGTTTAGAAGCGCTCGCAATGGAATTTGTTGGGTGTCGCATTGTTTACAGCTTTCTACAATTACTCAGAACTAACAATGAAATGTTTAAAAATGTGTAGAAACTGAGATATTGGGCAACTTTTTTTGTGTTTGTTTTTCTGTAACATGAATTATCTTCAATTTAAAGTGGAACACAGAAAAAAAAAAAAAAAAGTGTGATAACCGAAATTCATTATTTGTGGTGATTGTCTGAATGTGCCGGCGCGGTCAATGTGCTTCACCTCCTCCGGCAGTCTAGAACACGGGTAAGCCCCCCCCAAAGCCAGCGCCATCTTTCCTTTTACTGCTCACCTCTCTTCCTGCTTGTTTCAGGGGCCCGCCGTCCATGTCATACACAATACCCGTCCTGTCCACCTTCACGTCTCCATACTGAGGCTGGCGCTGTGCCGTTTATGTCCCCCTTCTGTTATCCCTGCTGCAGGACAACCACAAACCAAACCTAGCAAAATCCAGGGCCTCAGTTTTTTAGGGACCCGTCTCCCAAGCCTGGTACCGTACCAGAGTGCCTCAGGCCGTCTTATCACAGCATGCTCCAGCTCCTGTGGCGCCCTGTCAAGTCATCACATTCTATACGCGGTGTATAGGACATGAGGACAACGTGGCATGGTATACCATTGCTGTAGCGAAGGAAGAGACAGGCTGGAGGGAGCACTGTAACGGCCAGCCAGCTACCAGGATCGGGTGAGAACTAGAATTAGACCAGAGGAAGCACTTAACCCTTGAAGTGCCGTGTTAGCCCCACTGCAAGGCTTAAAAGAGAACTATGGGGTAAGTGGTTTTCCCCATAGTTCTCCTAAGGGTAATGGGAGGACATAAACTAGCGTCCTCCCGTCACCCAAAGCTCAGTATATTGCAAGCTACGGCTCACTATATACTAAGACCGCCGCATAACTGTCTAGATCTACCCAGCTGCGTGAGTGACAGTGTGCTCTGCCTATCTAGAGGCAGAGCCAGCTGAGCCCGCCCCCTCCCCCGTCCGTTCCGCCGGTCAGCGCTGGAGGATCGGGGAGAGTGGGAATCCCTGCGGGGAGCCGTGAGTGACAGTCGGAGATGATCGAGAAGTGAGCGAGCGACGGTATGTGTTCCCTCACTTCCCGATCTATTGAGCCGACGTGTGACAGTTTCGTTGTCACACGTCGGCTCCAACTATGAGGAGTGATTTTCACTCGCCTCATAGTTCTCCTTTGTACAATGTCCCCAGAGTTCTGCTTTAAGCTGCATGCATCTCACTTGTAGCAACCAATGCGAATCGGGTTCCTGCTGCCCAAAAAGTTTTCAAGTGCAGGTCACCAAGAGCTGACATTTCATAGACGGGGCTCTTGTGTGTGTTGTTAGCAGCCAACAGTCATCAGTTTTCGAGTTCCATCCGACAATCTGATTGCGGGATTTTATAAAGAGGAATTTCAGCACGATGGCCAAATACACAAGTGAAATGTATAGATGGCCCCATTCATTCCTGGACTGCGGCCGTACCCCTCTGGAAGGTTCAGCTGCCGCATGTGTGCGAGGGAGAGGACACGGCTGTAACATGACTCGTATGATGATTGCACTGAGGTTAGAGTTGCTGGACTCTTAGATCATAATAAGAAATGACCAGTTGTTGCACTCATGAATGGAATGGAGGGGAGTATCGTAATGTTGTGTTGGCTCCCTCACCAACGCTGACATCCTCCTACTTGGATTCTTCTGGGTTCAGCTTCTTCAGCCATCTTGATTGGCCGGCCTGGGATCAGGGCCTTCTTTAATGAGGGGCAAAAGGGGCAGTTGCCCCATGCCCAGTCGTTGTTGTGGGGCCCAAAGCAGCTGCCTCTTGAGCCCACAAAAGATTCACATGCGCCAACGTTCTGTGTACTATGTGATCGGAATCGCATACTGTTGCTCCGCCCCTGTCGTGTACCGGGACGTCTCGGGCGGGATCACGTCTCTTACGAGGTCACGTCTCCCTCTTATGGGGCTGGTGTGGGGGCCCAAGAAAATGTTTGCCCAGGGTCCAATCAATATGAAAGATGGCCCTGCCTGGGATGACGTAACTCCCGCCCCATGTGTGCGAGGGCATTATGCCGGAATTGTACCCTGAGCTGCGCATGTCAGTTTACTCAGAAGAATGCGACCAGGATGGCAAGAAGCCTATATTGGAGAAGAGACACAGGGGTTCATTTATATAACGCTCGCAGAGCCGCTCACTTTGCGAACATTGAACTTTTACATTCGCTTTTCTTTATGGCCACTAGATGGAGCCGAGGAGCGTAGAAAATTCCAGTGCTCCTTGGCTCCATCTAGTGGCCATAATGAAGAGCCACTGATAAAAGTCAGATGTTCAGAAAGTGAATGGCTCTGCGAACAATATATAAATACACTCTTGCAATAGAAAAAAAAACCGTCCTGCTCACAATTAAAAAATGCTTTAGAAGTAGTCATTCATATATATCTATATTTTAAAATGCGATTAGTATTTGAATTGGTCTTGCTGTTGGACTCCTATATCTCTGTACACAGTGGGGCTCTGATTGGGGGAGGAAGAGAGGAAGCTCCTAGGACCAATCAGTCTTTGCTGCAGTACATATATGCTGACAGGAGGAAAGAGCAGAGTAATGATGATTAATCTGTGTAACGATGTACCTTCGCTGCCCAATCAGCAGCTAGGGGGGGGGGGTGTTTTTTTTATCCAGGCTGTGCTGCAGATGTGGAAGCTGGGGATCTGGCTTTGCTCTCTGGCTGACACAAACCAGAATTACAAATCCTTTTGACAGGCGGAACGCCTCCTGTTAATGCATTCAGCTGCTTGTCTGGAGTTCAGCTTTAATCACCACGGGATGATCTCTTTCCACGGCACGTTCGCAGCAATCGGCACATACACAGCCTGCTTTTTAATCCATAAGAGTGAAATCTATGGCTGTCCCGGGGAAATCTGCTGATGTTTTGTGTTTGGTTGTTTTTCTCCGGCGTGGAGACAATATTCGTCTTTGTTCTTATTAGCGTTATGTCTGGAGGCGTCCTTCTGTAGCGTGTATTATAAATCGTGTCTTTGTTTCCAGGCCGCTTGTACTCCATTCTGACCCAGATTGTCAATTTCGGCTGTGAAATATCATGTAGTCGTGTATCAGTCGCAGGGCCACGTGCCGCCTTCTGGTATTAACCCTCCTGGACCCAAAAGGATCATCTGATTTGTTTCTATATTCTGATCGGGTCGGCAGGAAATTGAAGGCTGTGTGCGGCATTTCCAGGAAATGAACTGAAGGAAAATAGGGGCAAGTACTAAGGGAGCGCTCGCCACTGAGCGCCCGACCTAAAGGAGCGCTCACCACTGAGCGCCCGACTAAGGGAGCGCTCGCCACTGAGCGACAAACTAAGGGAGCGCTCGCCACTGAGCGCCCAACTAAAGGAGCGCTCGCCACTGAGCGGCCAACTAAGGGAGCGCTCGCCACTGAGCGCCCGACTAAGGGAGCGCTCGCCACTGAGCGCCCGACTAAGGGAGCGCTCGCCACTGAGCGCCCGACTAAGGGAGCGCTCGCCACTGAGCGCCCGACTAAGGGAGCGCTCGCCACTGAGCGCCCGACTAAGGGAGCGCTCGCCACTGAGCGCCCGACTAAGGGAGCGCTCGCCACTGAGCGCCCGACTAAGGGAGCGCTCGCCACTGAGCGCCCGACTAAGGGAGCGCTCGCCACTGAGCGCCCGACTAAGGGAGCGCTCGCCACTGAGCGCCCGACTAAGGGAGCGCTCGCCACTGAGCGCCCGACTAAGGGAGCGCTCGCCACTGAGCGCCCGACTAAGGGAGCGCTCGCCACTGAGCGCCCGACTAAGGGAGCGCTCGCCACTGAGCGCCCGACTAAGGGAGCGCT